CCTCCTATTAGGGAAGTTTTCTATTATTACTTTCTCAAACAGGTTCTCTATTCCTTCCTCCTCTTCTGCTTCTGGTATCCCTATTATATGGATATTAATACGTTTCAGGCTATCTTGCATTTCCCTAAATGCCTCTTAATTCTTTTTGAGTCTTTTTTCAGTTTCATGCTCTTTCTGGGAGCTTTCTTCTACCTTATCCTGCCGCTCACTGATTCAATCCTCAGCTTCATCGAGCCTGCTTTTGATTCCTTCTACTGTGTTCTTCAATTCAGAAATTGTATTCTTCATTTCCTCTCGTCTTTTATTGATAGTTTTTATGTCCTTTTTCAGGCTGATATAGTTTGCAGTAAGTTTCTTATGGTTTCCCTGTAGTAATTTTTAATTCTCTCTGAGCTCACTGAGCTCATTGAACTTCCTTAGAACCATTGTTTTGAACTCAGGATCTCATAGTTTACTTGCCTCTATTTCATTTAGTTCTCTTTCTGGAGATTCCTCCTTTCTCTTCAACTGGGGGGTGTTTTGGTTGTTTTTTTGTTTTTGCCTTCCCATTATTTGTGGGACTTTTTTTTTTATCTTCGGCTTCATAAGTTGATCTGTCTTGATTTCTTGACTTTGTGGTGTGAATTTCTATGGTAGGAGACCACTATTTTTTCTTTCTGGATCTGCATATGATGATGTCCTATGTTGACCCTGTCTGACCTTAGGCAGTCTGTCTGAGACTTGGCAGGAATCTACTGTCTGTGGCTACCTCCTTCAATTGTTAATCTAGTCACTCTGTACTCAGCTGTCAGGCTTTAGCACCACCGGGCCAGGGCAGAGTCCCTCCTGGGGGTGGGGCTAATGTGTCCTCTCACGCTGCTGCTGCTCAGGGGAGTGGTCTGCCCAAGCAAGATGGCTGCAGCTGTATGCAGCACCGGGATCCCACCAGCTAGTTCCTCAGTTCTCTCCCCAAAGCCTCCTGCCCCAGTCTCTCCTCAGGCCTCTCTAGCCCACTCTGCCCCCACCTTTGCCCGAACCCAGAGTAAGTGGCTGCAAATAAAAATTTATGTGTTGCCCTTTAAAACGCTCTTTGTGTCTCCAGCTACCCATCTCTGGCAGAGAGTAACCCTGCTGCTTTTTGCGGCTTGCTGTTATCTGTGTACTTTTTGGGCTCTGGTGCTACAGGCTGGAAATCTCTGCTTATGGTTTAGACCCCGCTCTTCTCAGGGGGATCCAACTGGCCGTTTCAATGTCCATCTGGTGCTGCCACCTGTGGGCACCCCACCTGCCTTCTCAAGTCTCTACCACACTCCTTACCCAGGAAATTATTTTAAGTGTTTCAAAATGACCAAAGTTATCTGAATCCCCCCCCCCCAAACTCCCTACCTTTAAATTGGTTTTGTTGTTTTTCCAAAGGAGACTTTTGAATCTATTTTTTGTTTCATCTAGCTGCATGAGAATTTTCACATAAGATAAATGGGCTTTCCATATATAAACACTCTTTTATTTAGCAGACAGGAAAGCTTTTTAAAAAATTCATTAGAATATGTCATTCATTTTAGACAAATTTATTTTGCTCATTCACAACCACCATTATGCACTAATTAATTGGTGCCATCATTTTTTTACAAGAGAAATGATCAATCAAGAGTCTAATGTTATGGGAAATCTTACACATGAAAAAAATCTATCCTGAATCTAGAAACAGTTTGAGAGTACATGAAAGGTTTTAACACAGATGTAGTCACCACATGTTCTCCAGCTCTTCTAGAGAAGTGGCATAAATAGCCACAGGAGGATGTAGGTTACTTAAAGGAAAAGATCCTCTAAGTCCTTATAAACATTGAATGAGCTACTGATGGAAGTCAAATCACCTTGCCTGGAGTTTCTTCTTTCTCTTTCTCCTTCTTAGGCATAGGAAAGTTTACATGTTTGAAATGGATTAAGCACAGTTCTGCCTGAGGATAAATGGTAGAGATCCAGTAAAAAGCTTCCAGCTCTCAGATATGAGAACAGACACATAGTATTGGGTTGAGAGTATTGTCAGGATGTTTTGATGAGTTATCCCGTACCTTGCTTTCTATGTCCCTTTCAACACATTTGTAAACATATACTTAGCATGGATCACTGTTATTAAACTGGCACTTACGTGATGAGAAACTTGCTGCCATTTAAGACAACTGCCCTCAGCTAGATTTACTTGGCACTGCAGATGAGGAACAGGTTCATCCTTAAATAGCTCTGTGAGAGCAAAAACCAAGTGGAAGCGTCCTCATCAGGTCCACTCTGCTTCCTTGTCAAGTCCCAAGTCTTGTACTTTAGGCACTGAATATTTTTGAAATAGTGAAGTGGTAAACCCAGAAATAACTCAAGTGTCTGTGACCCAAAGTCCAAGGTTAATATTTGCATGTTGGTCATGTCCAAGTTAAACAGGAAGAATTAGATATTCATTTTATCCCACCAAAATTATTCCCTAATACTGAGATAAAAGTTTGTTTAGTGGTGATGAGATCTCACACACAATAGACTTCAATTCCCCTGTTTTAACAAAACTTCCCTGATCAGAGCTTACAATCTATTGAAGGAGGGGGGTCGTATAAACTAACAATAGCTCATTAACAACTGTTTAGCAATATGCTCAAAATTTGAATCTACACACACTTTTACACATCTATTTAGCTTCAAAATAAACACAGGATTTTGACAAGTGTGAAATTAGCTTCTTCAAGTAATTGTTGCAGTTATTGTGGCATCAGGGAGACAGTCTAGTGTTTTAGTAACTTTTATGCATAGAAACAATAACAATTGGGAAAGCTCTATACACTTCTGAGAGTCCCCTTCTACCCACATGGAATCCCAGTTTAGAGCAGATTTGTTACACAGTAATATTACTCCGCCAAACGCAGAAGTGCACCTTAGCAAGTAGAGGCCATAAATACAAGAAGGGATTCTGGAAGAGACAGTTGCCTGCTTTATTATCTTTATTCAAGGGACTTCAACGTAAGGGTCTCAGTAACTCTATAAAGCTGCCAGGTCTTACTTCAGTTACAGGTCAAAACAGAGTTCAAGAGATTAAAAACAAACAGCTTCTATCTGAGGACATGTCTGCAACACCCACCCTTTTCTGCTCATCTCCATCTTTTTGAGACATCTGACATTGGCAGTCTAGAAAACTTCCCATATCATCTACTCTGAACACATATTTCTTCAAAGACAGGCCACAAAAGGGATGTTGGCTGGTAGCTCAGGTACCAATGATTCCTTGGTGTGGATTTATTTAAATCATAATCCTATCAAATTTCAAGTCCTTAGTTTGGGTATTAAACTCTTTAATCAATATTATACATTTCACATACTATCTTCACAGATTTGTAGCCCCACTGCTTCACTCATCAGCATAAGGAATATTTAGCATTAGAAGCACCAACTCTGATACTGGGCTCCTTGGGTTTTTTTATCCTTGATTCTGCCATTAGTTGTGTGAACCTGTGCAAATTACTTCTTTATACTTCAGTTCTCTCTGTGAAATGGGGTAGTAAGGTTGTCCTGAGGATGAAATGACTCGATAAAGCACTTGGAACAGAGCTTCATTTACACACAGGTAAATGCTAAAAGTGCGGCCGCTTATATTGTTGAGCACCTACCATATCTCAAAAGTATGTGCTAGTGACCCTGTTGCTGTATTGCCACTAAATTTGGTAGAATAAAATGAATCTCTAATTCTCTTGTTTAACTTGGAAATGGCCAACATGCAAATACCGGGTCCAGCACAAATAGTGCCCCTTTATTATAAAATCTTTTATTACAAAATCATAAGCATGTGACTCTGTAACATAACATCTCACTCAAGCACACATATGACAGTTTACGTGAAATGTTCAAATTAAAACTAAATTATTACACCCTTATTATTACCCTACCAACCACACACAAGCAGGCCTTACTTCTGCGTGACCCTGTATCAACCTTGGACTTTGGGTCACGGGCACATGAGTTGTTTCTGGGTTTACCATTTCACTATTTCAAAAATATTCAGTGTCTAAAGTGCCAGACTTAGGACTTTATGAGGAAACAAAGTAGACTTGATGAGGGTGCTTCCACTTGGTTTTTGCTTTCACAGAGCTATTTAAGGCTGAACTAGTTTCCTCCTCTGTAATAAGAGAAGTAATGCCCGATTCAAGAAATTATTTAATGAGATTTAATTAAGCAATGTGTTCTGCTGGACTGCAAGTATGCAATGAATGTAATTTCCTCTTGTATGGCAAATGAAAATATTCTCTAATTAGGTGGCTTCATTAAGTTACAACTGTAGACTCTCACTCTGCCATGGAGGAAATTCTTATTTAAGAGGTCAGAGGGGCAAGGGTTGACACCAATAGTCCAACAGAAGGCCCAGCAATCATCAAACTCAGGGACCTGGAAGGGCCCCCCAAAACAGGAAGGTGAGAAACCAGAGCGCTGTGCTGCACCCGAGGTAAAGAACTGCTCTACTGAGTTCTCCCTTTCGTAAAATTGCTGGCTTGTCAGAAGGTCTCCCAATTACATTTCGTCGAACCGTACACATCCCGGCTCCATCTATCTCCGTCCTGTCTCCGGTGACCACCGCGCTCGGATCTGGCTGGCCTGCCGCGCGTTACCTGCAAACCAAGGGAAGCCTTTCACCTCCCGAGTCTATTCGCTCACCTGAAAAACGGGAGCAGTGCTTCCTCACTCAAAATAATTAGAAAGACGTTTATAAAATATTTTTATTAAAAACAAAAGACGTTTATGAAAGTTCTCTATACAGCCCTAGTGGGAATGTAGCTACAACTACAGAACGAAAGCTCTACCACTTAAACTGAGCATTCTAGTCTTCATCCAACTTCTCGATACACAGAAGACAGGTGAGCAGCAAGCCTCCAGCACAAACCTTGCCCTCTGAATTGTTTTTGGCGGAAGGATTTATCAGGAAAGCCAGAAAAAACGCTCCTCCCCAAGCCACCTTTCCTTTAAAAGACCGTGACCGAAGCCCCGCCCACTACGGGAAGCGAAGGGGCCTTGCTAAGGAGCCCCGTTGCCTGCTCCCTGCCGGACCTTCGCCAACCCCAGTAAGGGGAAGCCAAAGACGAAGGGAGCTGAGGGACCGGGGGAAAGGGCAGCGTGAGGAAGTGGTCTTAGGGACATGCCTGCAGAGGAGGCGTCACTGCACTCGGCCGTGTCCCTGGAAGGTCAGTGCCACCTAAGCTGCTGGGCTGAACATGCAGAGGCCCTGGAGGCTCTGCCGCTGGGTCGGGGATTCGGCCGTGCTGTAATGCCGCCTCCAGGCCCAAGCTGCTCCCCGGGGGTCCCGGAGTCGTAAGACCGAGGCCCGTCTCCAGCCCTACAGTCCCTTGGACTTCTTACTTGGCCATTCATGTGGACGTAACGCGCTCCTGTGCGCCCGCGCTGTGCGTCCCTACGCCCCTCTTTGCGTTTGCGTGGTCTCCTCTGACGCACAAGATGGGGTCCGTTCCACGCGGGAGCGCAACCGGCTGTTGTGTAGTTGGGCTCTGCGCCGGGGCGGGAAGGGCTGGCCAAGATAAACCTACTGACGGGGTCGTCGCGGGGAGGATTGCCAAAAGATTGTGGGATTTCTTATTCCCACTGTTTAACATTTTGTATGCTCTGTGGCATAAGACTCCTGAAAGAAGTAAATAAGTGTTCTTATTGAAAAGTTGCAGTTCTAAGTGCATGTTTGGAAAGGCCTCAGTCTAAGCAAGTACAGAGAGTGGGGGAACACCAATTACAATTTATTGTGCCAGGCACAAGGCAGTAAAGGATAAACCAGATCCTTTCTCTGCTACTTAGAGATTACGTCTAGTGAAGGAAACAGTGATAAGATAATTACGAAATTATAATTGTGATACTGTATTGGAAAGATAAACTATACTTGGAAGCATTTAGGGCTGGGGATTAATGTTGAACTCAACAAATAAATGGCGGTCGTGGGGGGTGAATAGGGAGTGATGAGGGTAAGTCTGGGAAGCAATCAGAAAAATGTCCTGAGAAAAGTGGCACTAGGCGATGATCCAATGTTTCCTAAACTAAAGGAAAGAACATTTAAAGAATCTAAAAGGCCAGTGTGGTTTAGATAAAACGTAAGTTTGGTATGGAATGAGGCTGGAAAGGTGGGAAGGGCCTTTTGGCCTCCAGAGGGGCACTTTTAAGGTGGGGAGGACACTCGGTGTGGTGACAGCAAGGTAAAGGGGAATGCTGATTGCAGAGTTCAAGTGTGGTGTAAGAGCCTCCTTAGGAGACTGGTGGGAATCCAAACGAGAGATGCATAATATCTAGGGCGGTAACAGTGGATATGGAGAGAAGTGGATGGATTCGGGTAGTATTAGGAAGTGAAACTGATGAAACTTGGTGTTGGGTTAGCTCTGAAAGTGAGGGAGAGCAGAAGTGGAAAAGATGACATGTGGCTCTGGATGGACCAGAATGCTGGCCATTGAGATAAAGGAGTTCTGAAAGATGAAATGGCTATTTAGAAGGTTTATGTATGAGAATAAATGTAACCTGTAATATGGAGTCTTTAGTTACGGATTTAAAAGCTTTTTAGAAAACATTTCCTTGGTAGTTAACTAGAATATTTCAATGAAATAACTAAAAATAAAATTTTTATAGCTAAAAAGTTAAGACATTGGCAAAAGACACATGTTGGCTTTTTCCAGTGTTGAAAATCAGTGTTTGAGCTCTTAAACAGCCAAACGGGGTATAGAAAGTACTTTGTGCTTCTTATGGAACCGGAGCCGAGGGACAGCAACATAAAGGCTCCAAGAACAGTGCAGGCCTCTGGTACTGAGGGGGCACAGCCCAGGCTGAAATGGGGCAAATGGGACAGTTGGCAGCTATGCAGGCAGGAGCAAAGACTTTGAAACTCCTTTGGAAAGTGTAAGAATTTTTAAAATCATGGGAATTGGCAAAATTAATTTCACAAATACTTAAGCCACGAGAATCTAATGTCACTTTGATCCAGCCAGCTTTATTGGAAAGAAGAGATGTCAATATGAGCTTGTGATTATCAGCTGTATCAGAAAGGAAACCAGTGAGTGAACAAATTATAGAAGTTATTTTCACTCCACAGTCTACATAGTTTCAAAATGTACTTAAGCAATTTAACTTCTTACAGGACAGGACTCCTCCTTCCCCGTCATGATTATATCTACTAAACCATGGTATTTAAATTGCATTCCAGGAAGTTTCCTTAAAAATACATGGTCAGTACCTCCCAAAGAGGTACTGCAAAAGGTAATGTAAAATAACAGATCACAAAGGGTACCTGCAAAGAAAAGAAAGAATGCAGAATGATGTATCATAAGGGGAATGCAGCTGTCCTTTGGCACAGTTATCATTTTGTTACTTTATTTTGGTGGGGTGGGTATACAGTATAAGAATGTTCATAGCAGCTTTATTTATAATATGCAAAAACTGAGAACAGCTTAAGTGATCGTCATCTGGAAATGGTATTTTAAAACGTTTAAATTATTGTATAATAATTTTAAAACTGGTTTAAGTTATTGTATACTGGGACACTCCTCAGAAATAAAGAACTAATGATACATGCAGCAGCATGGATGAATCTTAAACACATTACGCTGAGATGCCTTCAACGAAGAGTACACACTTTTGATTACATTTATATATGTATATGAAATCTCAAAACAGACTATGATGGAAAAAAAATAAGAACAGTCATAGCCTCTGGATAGGGATGGAGGTTGACTTGAAAGAATCATGAAGAAAATTTCTGGGGTGATGGTAATAGTCTACATATTGATAGAAGTTTTAGTTCCAAAGTGTTTGTAGTTATCAAAACTAATCAATCGATCAAGTGGCATGCTTAAGATTTCTACATTTCATTGTATGTAAATTTTGCCTCAAGAAAACAAAGAATCAAGAGTAAACAAATACTGAACTACAGTTAATGATATGCCTGCTGAAGTATTTGAGGGTGGGCGTACCAATGTCTGCAGCTTCCTTTGAAATGTATCAAATAAAATGGATGAAAGAAGAATAAATGGATGGATACATAAAGCAAGGAAAACATGTATTGTAGAGTGTAGGTGAATTGGTACTGGTGTGCTCACTGTACAACCTTTCAACTTTTCTGTATGTTTAAACAGTTTCACAATTAAAACGGGGGAAAAATAAGCCTCCAACGAATATTGTTCATTTTAGACAACTGAAAACTAACTGGAAAATATAAAGAACAGCACTAACAGTGCTTGAAATACACAGCATATGAAAGTAGCCACATTAAAATTTCCCATGCCATGGCTTAATATTGAAATCATTTCAATTTCTTATGGAATATGTGGATCACCCATTAAAATCACTCTGTTGTGTTCATTTTGAATAATGCAATTGATGTTTTTTCTAACCTCATCCTAGGAGAGTTAGTGATGATGCCAAAGAGGTCCAGGAGGAGGAGTGAGGACTGAGAGGAGCAGAAATTGCTGAGAGGAAGTGCAGCACAGAGGAGTAAAGGGGCTTTGGGCCTGCGGGTCAGGTTTTCCTCCAAAGATTGGAGGCTATGGAGTTAATCAGTGATCCAATCTCAAGTAAGTAAAGAATGGAAAGAAATTATGTGTTTCTTTCTAGAATATGAAGTTGGCTACTGAATTTAAAACTACCAACAGAGCTCTGGCTGGTGTGGCTCAGTTGGTTGGAGCATTGTTCCATGGACCAAAAGGTTGCAGGCTCGATTCTTGATTCCTGGTCGGGGCACATGCCCAGGTTTGCGGTTGGGTTGGGGCGCCTACAGAAGGCAACTGATCAGTGTTTCTCTCTCAAATTCAATCTCCCTCTCTCCCTTCCTTCCCCTCTCTCTGAAATCAAAGAGCATGTCCTCCGGTGAGGATTAAAAAAAAAACAACCAACTACCAACAGATGTAAAGTTACTGTATTTTGCTGTGTATAATGCGCTTCTGTGTCTTGTATGCCCAGATTTTTTCTCCATGTTATACACGGGATTATATATTCATTACACCCATGTATAATGCACATCCTTATTTTCACCTTAAAAATTTGGGCAAAAAAGTACTCATTATACACAGCAAAATAGGGTTTGTAGCACAGTGTGAGTATGGTTCTTGGTAAGGTCTGAATAATCATAAAATCACAAATATGTATCTCATGTTATAAAAATTACGCATTTTAAGTAACTGACTTTAAGATAATTAGTTTTAAAAATATTTTTGGATGTTTCAGAAAGCATAGTTCTAGGAGTAAGAGTCACAATTCAGCCATATTATCATAAGTACATAAGCATTTTGATTTTGATTTAGACTACAGGTTCATTCAACCTATTATTTATTGGACAGAGGTATCAAAGACATTTCATTAGAGGCTTTCTATTTTGCATCAACCTTGAAAGATTAAGGATAATCCCAGACACTCTAGCTTAAACTACTTGAACCCACTTATATTATAATGTTTATAACTCATTTTCTTGCATCTTTTTTTTAAAATCCTCCCCTGAAGATTTTTTCTTAATTGATTTTAGAGAGAGAGACATCGACGTGGGAGAAACATTGATCAGCTGCCTCCCATTGATAGAACCAGCAACCTAGGTATGTGTTCTGAATGGAAATCAAACCCACAATTTTTTGGTGTATGGGTTCACATTCTGACCAACTGAGCCACCTGGCCAGGACCTTATGTCATCTTTTCTAGGGAGGGGCCTAACCCAGTGGTTCCTATCAGTAGAGGAGCAAGAAAACATCTTGTTTTGAAAAAGCATCCCCAGATATTGCTGGTAGGCCTGCAGTTTCTACTCTAAAATAGACACGTTAACTTTCACCTGTTGGCACAACTAGTAAATTTTTTCCTCCCTATTAGGCTATTGATTCTTCTTCTTTTTTTTTTTTTTTGAAAAAGCCTTTTTATTTATGAAAAACACAGAAAAGTTGAAAGACTAATAACTAAACACCATATGCCCATAACCTAGATTCAGCAAATGTTGTCGTAATTGCTATATTTTCCGTCAAACCATTTTAAAGTCAGTGGCAAATGACATGAGACTCCACCTTAAATACTCCAGCATTCATTTCCTAATAGTGCCATTTTCACACCTAAGAATTAATACTTCCCTGAGAGAAGCTAATCCATCCTGAATCTAAGCCATATTCAGATTTTCCCAATATGTCTTCAGTTGCTTTTTTTCAAACACATTGCATTTTACAGTTATGCCTCCTTAGTCTTTTTATTCATGCATAGCCTTTCCCAGCCCTTTTCTTTCCCCATAACACTGACTTTTTTTAAGACACCAAGCCAGTTGTGAATTGTCTCACATTCTGGATTGTCCGATTGTTTCCTGTGGTCTAATTTGTTCTTCTCTGAGGCTGGCCCTTGTATTCCTTGGAGGCTGAAAAAGGCTCAGGTTGACCCTTTGGTAGGACTTCTTCACAGAAAGTGCCTATAGGAGTGGAGTCACACCAGGAGACATGCACTAGGATATCCGGTTGTCCTACAGTCAGGATGCTGAGTCTCACCTTTGTTTTGAGGGTAACAACAGAGTGTTTTTCCTGTTTTAATTTGGAAGTCATCTTTGGGTCACCCTTTGGCACCACATGAATACATTGGTTCCTCATCAGCTTTTTACCTGTTGATTTTTGTATCCATCCTTGCCTAAATCAGTGATTTGATTGGCTGTGGCAAAATGGTGATTTTTAAATTACTTTTACTTTTCCATTTATTAGCTGATATGCTCCTCTGAAGAAGAGCTTTTCTTTATCAGCTGGGGATGATTCTAATTCTTTCTTAAAAGGTAGGATGCATGCTTAGTTTTCTTCACCGATTTTCAGACTAAGGAGTCAGGGTCATAGTCACATATAGTCATGGCAGATGATCTTTCTTTTAATAGATTTTTGCAAATTTAATGTGTTGAAATGAATTTTAGTCATTAATGCTTAAATTATAACGTGCCACCAGTGGGAGGCTCTTTATGTTACCAAACTGTAAAGTACACAAACAAAAGTATAATACTGTCAGGGAAATGTGAAAACTGGATCTCGAATGGTATAAAGGGAGTATTATTAGTTGGGATAATGTTATTGTGGTTATTAAAAAGGTGGATAAGACCTTATCTTTTAGAGATGACAAGCTGAGGTATTTATTGATGAGATAAGATTTACTTTAAAATAGTGCCTGGATGGGTAGGGAGCAGGAATAGTGGAGGGTAGAGATGAAACAAGCTTTGGCCACATGCTGGCAATTAAGCTGAGTGATGGGTGCTTAAGGCTTATTACACTATTCTTTTCGTACATGTTTGAAACTTTTCATAATAAAAACTTTCATAATTACTTAAATTTCTGTGGATATTTGCAATTCAAATTTAATAACACATGTTCTTTCTTAACTTTGTATTTATAATCTTATCTATTAAAAACTTATTTTGAAGAAGTGTGTACATCTTCAACTTTGCTCATCTAAAGCCACAATTTAGCTAGTATTGAAGCTTAATTGCTGTATAAGTCAAAACTTAAAAGTTTTTTAAAAATTGAATAATGGTAAAGAACTTTAAAAAAACAGTTACAGTATTTTTCTATACTTTTTTCTCTTTAAAAGTTATTAAAGTTTAAAATATTTTATATTGCTTTTCTAAGATAGTTTTTATTTTATAAAGAAATAAGACTTATTTACTAGTATAAAAATATTTTGATTAAAAAATTTTGAGAAATAATTATTTAGGAAGAATGGGGGAAAATCACTATATTTTCAACCTCAAATAATCAGAGTTTCAAAAAATGTTATATTTTTCTTATGCCTGGTTTATTTCCTTAGTTCTTAAAAATACTATGTTTTGAAATAATATTTTCTATTTTAACATGGTGATGGTTCATTACACAGGGCACAGGAGCTTCCATCTGTAACTCGTCTGAATACTGAATGATATCAGTATTCCATCTGAATACTGCTGCTGCCACTTTTCTGATAATGAATGGAAAAATATTCTGTTCTCTTCAGACTTTCTGTTGGTTTGGGGCCTTCCTCTACCAACAAATATCTGACTGTTTCTTACTGAACATTAAGTATCTCAGCCGTTTCAAATCCAGCTTGCTCCCAGCTTAGAGCCCTTACAACATCTACAACAAATTCCCGGCCCAAGAACTGTACATTAATTCATCCCGTTCACTGTAGATGAAACACCCAGCCATATACGTCACTGATGTCAGTGGACATTTGAAGCACCAGCTAGAAATGTGAGGATTGCGGCTGACCAGCATTTATGAGGATTGGCAGGGAATGAGGCACCTAAAGACCACAAGGTTAAACGCCAGCAGAAACCGCATCCCTCCTGGCTGTCCCCCTGGGCTCACGCATTCATTATGTACTACTGAGCCAGACTCTAGGCGCTCGTGTTAGGAATGCAGCACTGAAGAGAATGGTCAAATTACATTTTCTTATGAAGCTTACATTCTACTAAGATTATGAACATACGTGTGAATACATGTCAGGCGGTGAAATTTTTTAAAAGGCTAGATAATGTGTTTGAAAGTGATGGAGTGTGCCATTTTATAAAGAGTGGCCAGAGACGGCCTCGTCAAGTGGTGACATATGAGCAGAGCCCTGAAGTAAATGAGCCACGCAGCTGTCTGAAGGAGGGGGACACTTGAGTGCAAGGACCCAGAGGAGGGGCAGGTCCAGTGTTTACAAGGAACAGCAAGGTTGGAACAGAGTGAGCTGCAGGAAGTGGGGTCAGTGCTGTGGGCAGAGGGGTGTGGGGACAGGGTCACAGAGGGCCCCGTAGGCTTCCACACTGGCTTTTGTCTTGAGATGGGAGCAAATGGAGAACCGTGAGCACAGAGGCATATAATCTGACACATTTTGAAAGGATCATTGCGTGCGCCTTGTGGGTGATAAATTATTGGTGAGCAAGGGAAGTGCAGGGAGACCAGTCAGGAAGCTATTACTGTAATCTGGGTGGAAGATGATGGGGGCTTTTGGGGACAGGTTGATAGCAATGGAGAAGGTGAGAAGTGGTTGGACCCTGGATATATTTTAGCAGTTGAACAATAGGACTTGCTGATGAATTGCTGAGTGAAAAAGAAAGGTCAAGGATAACTTGGCCGTTTTGGCCTGAGCAACAGGAAGGATGTGTTATCCTTATATGAGACCAGGAAGACAGAGAGAGGAGCAAGTGTAGGGTGGAAGATGGAGAATCCAGTCTTGGTCATGTTCACTGTAGGTTGACTATTGGATAGCGAAGAGGAGATGCTGGGGAGGCAATTAACTCTACACCTTTGGAATTCAGGGAAGAGGTTGGAGCCAGAGCAATAAATTTGGGTGTTATCAAGCTAAGTTAAGGAGGGAAGTGAGAATGTGCACATTCTGTGCACTTTCTATTCAATTGGCTGGGCCTTTTTTTTCATATCACCCAGGGGCATGAGGGGTACTGGTGGGCAAGATCCGTGGGGTGACAGGTGGGATCAAATCTAGGGACCAGAGCAAATTTCCAGTCTTAACAAACAGCCCAGGTGAGTCTTGTGCAGGTGACCCCAGCACCATTCTTTGGAAGCACTCTGTAAGGCATCTCGTCCTTTCCTCTTTCATCTTTCACAAGGCACACCTCTCTTGAGTTCTTGGTTCACTGGTGTTTCTCAGCAAACCTTAGATGAGGAGATGAATGGGTCTTCTCATCCATCCCTCAGCCTACACTTCTAAATGAATGGAAGGAGAGAGACACTTATTATGGCAGAGGAGCAACTAAAAAATCAAAATGCCATTTATAAATGCAGCACTTACAACCAGGAAACCACTCTCACCACATGTGCCTGATGCTTAGTTAGCATTTAATAGTAATGCCTTACTTACCTTGTGAGTGATCTTTACAGTTAATGAGGTCAGTACTTTGATTAACATCAGGGTGTTTCCTTTCTGATAGACTCAACTAGTTCTTCCAGTGGGTCAGCTTTCCCCATGGAGAGGCAACTTTCCCAGAATAGTGCTCTTATATATTGTATACCATCAGATATATTGACAAATTGTTCAATGTTTTAAAAGTTAAGAATTGATGTTTATGAATCACCAAGGATTTTATATCCTGCATCCTCCTTCAAGGGTATCCAGCCTTTTGGCATCTCTGGGCCACATTGGAAGAATTTTCTTGGGCCACACATTAAACACATTGCGACAGGCAGTCACAAAAAAACTCGTGTTTTAAGGAAATTCACGACTTTGTGTTGGGCTGCACTCACAGCCATCCTGGGCTGCATGGGATGTAGGTTGCAGGTTGGAGACCCCTGTAAAACCCTTGGGATGATCTTAGCTTTTGAAGTAGGCACTACAAGTTCCATGGGAAATAGAATCAAATGAAATAATATTTGGTGGAGGAAAAAATGGGAGACAAAAGCCCTGTGTAAATCTGGTTTAGTCTAACAATACCTTGTACTGGGGACAGGACCACCAAGAGTGAGTGTGACCATGGTCACCTGATGGTCTATGTTATTGGTGTGAATTTCCTATGCACACATCTGTAACATTCACAGATGACATGGTTTCCACCCTCACACACATCCTCCTTGTACCACAATATGAAACCACATGAACAAATGATTTACTTTTAATCAACTTTTCTCCCTGCTTTTTAGGATGGCTGCTGTTTTTCTAAAGAAGTTAACATTACAAACCATAAAGACTAAAAATAATTGCCTTAGAAGATGTCTAGGGAAATATATTGTGCAAACGATGGCACTAGCACAGTTGCCTCTTACTGCTTTTGCCCCAAGACCGGCCTACCTAATTCATGCAAAAGCTTTTAGCACTGTTGAAGACACCCAAGATGAAAGAAAAAAGAAAGAAAAGAATGAAACTGATTTTAGTAACATTGGAAGAAAAATTAGTGAGCGAATTATTCATGTATTTGATGAGAAGGGCAATGATTTGGGAAACATGCACCGAGCTGAAGTGATTCGGCTCATGGACGAGCGAGACCTGAGACTTGTGAAAAGGAAGCCCAGCGCAGAGCCTCCCGAGTACCAGCTCATGACAGGCGCACAGATTCACGAGGAGCGGCTGAGACTGAGAGAGAGGGAGAAGGCTAGACCTAAAACTGGTGGGTAGTTTGCTGTTTGCCCCTTGAATTCCATAAGGTTACAAATCAGCAGTTTAAATTAGGCATTTGCTATGGTGCCAGTGACAATGGGGAAGTGAAAAACTGGGAAGTTCAGTTTCACCACTGTTTCCAGTGCTTTTTATCCCTCACTTATTTCTATTCCTTTTTTCCTTTTCCTTTGTATCCTGTGTCCATCATCTCCTCCATTAAACCTGTGTAAAATGAGGAAAAACAAAGTAAACACCAGAAGAATGCTATGAACTCTTTCCCCTTTGCCCTTGGCTCTGTCTCCTAATGCCTCAGTTCGTGGAGCAACCGATGGGTGTAATGAAATGGAACTTTGAAGAAGTGGATTCAAGTTCCTTTTGCTGTCCTGAGCCCCTTATTTACCTTTCTTTAAAAAAAAACAAAAACCCTCTCATCCCGAAGTGGAGGTGTTTGGTTAATTCCATGGAAGCACGTTTTAAATTCTGAAGTGATTTCATCTCCCATTCCTGAGTATTTTGTTACAATATTGGCAGTAACACTCCTTTACATATTTTGCCAATCACCTGACAAGGCATTTATCATTCAAACCTTATAAAAGCCATTAATTGGACATTAAGTGAAGATGTTGGTTTTTCATGATTTTTAGTAAGTACTGATCATAATGAAAGATTGTTCAATGGTAAAAGCACTAGGGTGGGGGTCAGAAAAACTGGTCCCAAAGCTTTCAGTTAGGTAGTGCATCCTGAGAAAACAACATGTTGTCTGACTGGCTCAGTTTGTAACACCACACTGAACAGGAATGCTGAATGGAAAAAGCAAAAAATTTTAAGAGGCTAAGGGGATAAGGACATCAAACTATGTCACTGAAAAAAAGAGTTTACAGACTGGAGAAGACACTGCTGTGTTCAGAGACTGTCAAAGACATGACTTTGTCCAGATAGGAAACTAGGACCAATTGGTCGAAACTTTAAGGAAGCAAGTATCTGTTAATAAAAGAACCCTTTTTTAGGAAAGTCACTCTTATTTTGGAAATTAGATGCAGAAAAGTATAATAAACTCTTACCATCCAAAATGAACAAGCAGTAACACTGCCATACTTCAGTTCTCAAACAAAACGTGACAGAAAGGTGAGGTCCCCTGTTGCTTCCTTCTCCCCTCCTTCCCCAGAGGTCCCTGCTCACTCTCGTGGACTCAGGGTGTGGGTCCAGTTCATGTTAAACTCCAGCTACAGACAGATAAAACAGTCGTACACAGTATGTAGAATAATTTTGTTTGCATAAAATTATAAATGGATCACTATTGTTTTCAAGATGTTTATATAATGGCTGTAGCTAATTATAATTACCAAGTGACATTTCATCATAAGCAGGTACCATAGCTTTGTTAGTCCATTTCCCTAGCCATTGGGCTTGCTTCCAGTTCTCATTATTATGAACTATGAGCATATGCATGTCATTGTCTCGTGTACGCTTCAGATACCTGTGGGGCAAACCATCAGCAGTGTATGAAATTTTTCTTGTCCTCACCCATACTTGGTGCTGTCAGACTCTAATTTTTGTCATGCCAATGGTTGAGAGGACATATTTTAACTTGTATTTCCTTTCACCAGTTGAGCTTCCTTTTCTGCAAACTGCTTATTCATATTCCTTTTTTTCTTACTTTGATAGTTTATTTTTGTCCTGATTTATAGAGTTCTCTGTTCAGTATGAAGGAACAACCTTATCCTAAGTAGATTTCTCACTTTTGTTTTTCCCCTTGCTTTGAGGTAATAAACATATTCTTTCTTTTCTTCCATTTGTATTAAAGTTGTATTTTTCACAGTTAGTCCATCTGGGGAGATTTTTGTTTGGGTCAAAATCTAACTTTTCCTCCATATAAAAGAAAACTCAATTGTTCCAGTGCCTTTAATGAGTAGTCTGTTCCTTCCCTGTAAAATAATTTTCTAGTAGTTAGGATTTCCAGAGTAGAGTGAATGAATGAATGCAGGACGCACCCTGGGTGACCCCACTCTAGCAAGGAGTTCATCATAAAAGAGTAAGATGAGAAATGTACTTCCCAGATAGACCCAGGATCAGAGAGAAAAAGAAGGATAATTAAGTTTACCATAAAGCTAAACTTGTTCGTTTTGAAGAACCATTCTTTTGTTCTTTCATCAAATGATGGTAACAATAAATGGAAACATTTTATATTTAAATACCCTTTCTTGGCAGGCAAAAAAAAAAAAAGTTTATGTCTGTCTCCTATTTTTAAGAGTGTTTACTGGACTGTGAAACTAATCAAGTGAGAGCAGGATTGGATCCCCTATGGCAACCTAAGATTTTCTGAAGTATATGTGGTGAGGTTGAGTCTCATAAACAGGGTAATAAACAGTCCTAGCACCAAGTCTCACTGTTTCAAACTAGGACCAACTCTGACAAAGGAACTAACTTTTTCCTCAAATATTGGACAACATGATTTGGACACAAAGAGTAAACAGATTCAGCAGTGGATTGAGAAAAAATACAAAGTTCAAGTTACTGTAAAGAAAGCAAAGAATGCAGAGGAGCCAGAAAATAAAATGGTAAGTAAAAACAAGAGTAACTTTTTTTGTTTTCTGATCTAAAAGTACAATTGTAGAAAATTTGAAAAATGTGAAGGCAAACAACAGTGACACTGATTCTGCCAATATTGGTGATAACAGCTTTCCAATTTGTTTTTCAAAATGCAAGCATACTGTATATGTTACTTTTTCCACTGTAGCATAAATATTTTGCCATGTGAAAACATTCTATTTCATAATTTAAAGGCTATATACTACCCTATTATACAAACTGTAGATTATCTAACATTTAAATAGGAAAAATAGAAACTTTATAGATTTGTTTTTTTTAAATTTGTTTCCTCTTTTAAATCCTAGTAAGAAGTATCCTATTTAAAGTCATATTGTCTTCAAGAATGTGTGTATCAGTTTATGATCCCAGGATAAGTGTACTTTTAGAGTTAGATGACTTATCAACTAAAAGGCAGCATCAGCCCAGTGGTGGTCAACCCTAACTCTGCGTTAGAATCACTTAAAGCTAGGTCCACAGGCTGCTGACCCAGAATCATTAAAACCAGGTGTAGTTTTCTATTAGCCTAAGTGCCTGAGTGAGCATTAGGAACTGCACTGGGCTAAGGGTTTGGGGTATAAGTTGACACTATGCCAGTACCGAGACCCATGCTTTATACTTGGTCTTGCAAGAAGTTAGCCTCAGTGCAGTAAGAGTAGGGATTTAAATCAAGCCTTTAGTGCCTTAGTTTAGTTGTGTGAAGTTTGTGTAACTGCCTGGTTACTATACAGGTTTCAGTCAGCTTAACTGGGCATGTAGAATTTGATTTAGCTAATCACTTAAATAGCAGCAATTCAAGAACACTGGGGGTTATGGGTATTAAAGGATTAACACCGGAAATAATCAAAACACTGGTTTTGAATTAACCTTTCGCTGTTTTCCTTTCTTAGGAGGAGATATTTAAGCAAATCCTCCAGACTATGCCTGGAATAGCTGCCTTCTCATCCAGGCCACAGCCTGTTAAAGGAGGAAAAGCTGTAGTATGTGTTCTTCGTCATTTGAGCAAAAAGGAAGAGACTGCATATAGAGAAACTCAGCAGACCCAGGAAGGAGACCCTTTGAACAAAAAAAATGGAAACAATACAAAATCAGATATTCTGCATCAGTGATTAAAGAAAAATGTGCTTCTGAGAGAAAGTACAGTCATACCTCAGTACTCGTCGGCTTCAGAACTCATCAAAATCTGTACTCGTTTCATTTTGACGAGAAAAAAATGTTTCAGCACACGGCACTTGCTCGGGGACTCATCACGCTTGCTAGAACTTGTATGAGTCACAATATCGCTCGCAAGAGAAAATGCTTTTTGTTGCTTGCTTGGTACTCATCAGTTTGGGCACTCATCATGAGTTCCGGAATAAATTAATGACAAGTAGCAAGGTACCACTGTACAGGCATACTTCGTTTTATCGTGCTTCACTTTATTTACAGATGCTGCATTTTTTTTATAAATTGAAGGCAAGACCCTTCATCAGCAAAAACATTTCAATTCACTTTTTTTGCCCTACATGCTTTACTGTGGTAGTTTGGAGGTGACCCATACTACCTCTGAGATCTGCCTGTAAGTGAGCTGGCTGGTCTGTGGAAAGCAACTGGATGTTTAGCTGAGGGTGACCGTCGAGAGCACCTTGTCTTCAGCACCGTTCAGCAGATCTCCAGGTTGAGGCAAAGATAGGCCATGTTCTTGTTTCCCTTTAGGAGGGATGTAGCCACTGAGGCGGGAAGCCAAACTCCGTTTTTCACGAGTTTGTTTTACCTTTGGAAATAAGGAAAACAATTAGAATTCAAGATAAAAATTATCTGAACTAATTTTATAGTAGTTGCACACCTTGATGGGTACACAACACTCCTTTATAAGAAAGTGCAATGCATCCAATTGCTTTCTGTAGCAGTGCAGACTCACACAGTAATAAGTAGTCAAAAATGCTCTAAATAGATCGCATCTGGCTCCAATTGCCAATTTATGCTTTAAAAACAGCTCGCCTAAATAGTCTTGACTTACTTTGAGCTTCATTTTCCTCTTGTCAGGGTCATGAACAACAGCATGCCTAGTGAGACTTTGCTGAAATGAAAGAAAAAATAAAGTTCTGTTCTTAAAACATTGCCATTTGGAGTCTATTAACATGAAAACTCCATGGGTTGTTTAAATAAACAGCCTTCTTTCTGTTATGTTCTGTTGAGGGGTGTGACCCGTACAAAGATTCCTACCAGAGGATTCTCCTCAAATCCTGGGCTGAAATCACTGCTGCTTCTAATGACCCAGGTCAGGACTTTATCCAGTCTCAGTGTCCTGTGGCTTTTTAGTTCTTTCATAAGTAAGAGGTCAGGAAAACTAGTTCTGAAAGAGTTCTTCCAAGCCGAAGGAGGTTCTTTGAGCCAAAGCTATGTCATCAGCATCCCAAAACCAGTGGAATATCTGACCAAAGTCTTGCTGTCCTTGCTGAGAATGCTGACCAGCAGCTCCGTTGTTTTCTAATGTTTTGGACCTGTGCTGAGCCAGCCTCATGTCTTTCTTCAGTCTTCATTATAATCCATAGTATAAGTGCTTGTAAGAGCACCAACCATGTGAGAGTCTCCCAAACTGCACAGGGCCCCTCAACTGTATCATGGCCCTAACCTATTCGAGTCACACTGAGATGCAGACTAGATGGACCCCCGACGTTCAGTACGCCCTCATGTCCTTTTTGTCCACTTCCCTTCTCAATCCCTATATGATTGTGGCCTAAAAGGGTGGCCCCTGGATGACAGCGGCCTGAAAGGACACCCAAAATAGCAGCATACCCTTGAATAAGCATTTGGTTCCATATGCCACTGGTTCTCACATATAGCCCACATGAGAATCACCTGGAGGATTTGTTAAAACACATTACTGGATCCCTAACCCCCAGAGTTTCTGATTCAGTCGGCCTCTATAGAGCAGGGCATGTGGCTCTGCGTTTCCAGCAAGTTCCCAGGTGATATGGAGCTCCCAGTCAGGGCTGTACTCTGAGAACCACATGGCATACACAAATCGGGCTGTATGGCAGACTTCAGTTCAGAACCACTCCAGCTATAGCAAGAGTGGAAGGTCTTAGGGCCCTGCTCACCCAGCCTGCAGGCCCTGGGACACCATCCTGGAACCCAAGACTCCTCAGAACCCAGGTGGAAAGCGACACACTGAAAGGACTGCCCAGGGGAGGGTGAGCACTTACTTTCATTGCGAAGGTTTTGCCACAGCCGGCATGTTCACAGGCAAATGGGCGCCTCTCCTCGTGAAAGGAGAGAATGTGGCTCTGCAGATTGAACACAGTTGTGTAGGTTCTGCCACAGCCTTCCCTGGGACATCGACACACACTCCTTTCTGGGGTATGTGTTTTCATATGTTGCTTCAGATAATCTTTGCGTTTAAATGTTTTCTTGCATACTTCACACATCACTTCCTCTGATGAAGCAGACAAAAAATTTTAACCCATTTCCCCAGGTATTGCCACATAGAAAACATTAATACTGTATTCAATATATAAGTAACATATTCAGTACCTAAAACCTTATACCTAAATCAGAAATTTCAGAGTAAACTAACTCCAGTTTTTATTGCTTGAACATTTGTCTCAATTCTCCCAAGTTCGTCTATTATGTAAAGTCACCCTTGCCGAGGAGCAGGGGTCTTCAGCATGGTGGCTGTGGGCACAGGGAGGAAATTAAATAGGCCAGGCTCCTTCCTTGTCTTCCAGCAGACAGGGCACTCTTTCCCAAAATGCCCCACGGAATCCCAGTGTCCCCCCAGATTCTTGCCAGAGCCTTTAAAAATGCTGAGTATGCACAACAGCTCGAAGAGACCTGGCATAGCTCTTCCCGACCTGGGACCATAAGTATCTCTTCTCTTTTGTCAAACAGCTGAAGTGCCCAGCACCTCACGAAATACCTATTATTTTAAAGCACATAATTAGTATTTCTCTCTTTAAAAGCACTAAATCAGTTCTATGGGGCAAACGGTTATGCCAAGCCATTCATGTCTGCCTTACCTTTATGGGTGGTTCTCACATGTTTCAGAAGCTCTGTCCATGTTTTTGCCATAAAGGAACATCCTTTTTGACATTTATAGCCTATTAAAAAAATAGATTGGTGTGTTGCCTTTTGTGAATATTCAGAGTAAACATCAATCATAATTAGAAAGGAAACTTAACATGCCTGTGTAATTTTTCTCCTACCTCCCAAGAGTATCCTATTCTGCTTGTCTCGAGAGGTGACAGTAAAACCAAAGAGCTGCATATCAAGGTACCTCATGTAGGATTTTACCTCAGCAGACTTCACAAGAGACTGCCTTTCCCTTTCTGCTGTTTTCATTAAGCTGACTATGCTGTACATGGACGCCCAGCTGCTTTAACTCCCCACCTCCACGGCTCATGGCCCCCTCACCCTCCCTGCTTTCTGCCTGCCTCTTTTTCCCTCAGGAAAAACGTTTAGTTGGTCCTTTGTCTTTGGCAAACCATCAACACTAGATCTTAGCTGTTACGTGCCCAGCCCCTGGCTTCCTCGAGTCTTAACATCTTCTAAGCTTCATGCGGAAAAAAAGAAGCAGGGTACAGCTAAGGGAGAAAACATAAACAAGAATAACCCAGAGAAAAACACTATGAACAAAAATTAACATTGCATAAAGCACTAGAATTGGATTATTCTGTCAATTTAACAGCCAGCCTGTGTTTCACCTGACTAAATACCAGATAGAAACAAAAGAGCCTGTCACTCTTAGCTACTAATTTTTTATTTAAAAAAAAAAAAATTCCATAAATTCTAGGGCTTGGGAAATTAGGATGTGGATATCAAAAATCCTATATGGAAACACAATAGAGTCAAGTAGCTAAATCAAGACTTTTCAAAAAAAGTCACAATGTGATTGCTCTGAAAACCCCAAACTGTTACATTAACTTAAGCCTTCTGAACGCTCCCAGGAGAAGAACGACACAGGGAGTAAGCAGAAGAGGTTAAAAACTATTGGGTGGGCCAAACACTCCATTTGGCTTTTTTCCATAAAAAAAAAAAAAAAAAAACTTTTTTCATTTTCACCAATAACTTTCTTGATTTGGATATTTTGAGTATGTCAGTTGTCCCCCGCTATTGGCTTCTAGTGGGTAGAGGCCAGGGGTGCTGCTAAACATCTTCCAATGCATAAGACAGTCCCACAGCAAAGAATTACTTGGTCAAAATGTCAATAGTACCAAGAAACTTCACAAACCATTTTTGACACATTTCATCAGTCATAGCACCTTCTCCGTACACTGCACAAATCTTTTTTTGCGTTTCAGTTGCGTTTTTTCCCTTTCTTGAAATAATAAAGCATAATACACCAAAAATGTATATTTTCTTCCATCTTCAATATTAAAATCACAAAAATTCAGCAATTTTGATTTTTTTCCCCAAATCCACGCTGTCAAAATACAATCTAACAAAATTGTTTTGAATGAAGTTAAATACAACTAAGCCCTACAAGAGCCATTGTACAGAAAAAAATTAAACAAACTTTCTTGCCACCCCAATACTATGAAGCAGCGATGCCTTGGCAGAGCACTGGCACTACCACAAGGACACAGCACGACCACACGCTGGCTTTGAACAATACAACATTTACTCTGAACAACAGTGACAGCAGAGTGGAAGAATAGACACGACATATAGGCAGCCCCTCTTTGGTCAAGAGTATAAAACGCGAACAAGCAGAATGGTGCCCCCACCTAGTTCTGAGTTGCTCAGTATGACCGCAGAATAGAGTAGAAAGCATCAAGTATTCAAATACTTAAACACATACACCCTATGGCTGGTGTGTTAGTCGAGTGAACACTGCTAAGTACGTACCCTCATGGACCTTCCCATGTCGTTTCAGCCCACTGGGCGAAGCAAAGTGTTTTCCACAGCCTTCATGGGTGCACCTGGATTAACAGAACATGAAGTATCAGCCAGGCCGTTTTCACAAAGAACTCCAAACAGGGTAAACCGTACTTTGTCCTATTTCTCCTATCAAAGTCTCTTCTACCCACAACTAAACCAGTCATACAAAAACAATTTAAAATTTAGATCATATCCTAGATAAAATTTGTTACTTGACCAAACTTGGGGCAAAACAAACAGAGAAAAATGCCATATGACATTTTTTTTTGCTTATGTGACCAAATTAAAGTTTTATATTTATTCTTTTGAAAATATACTCTGTTTTCATGGCTACGAAAAAGATGTTTTAGGTCTACACCTAAACCATTCCAAATCATTTGTACCTAGTTTTTCTGACGATGCTGCCCTGGGATGGTGTGCAAAGAAAACACAGGAGCAGCTTCACCAGCCTCAGGTGAACAATGTAGAGTGCATGCCACTTTGGCATCAATGCCACCAGCAGCACAAGAATAAGCAGACCCGCAAGCAATGGCAGGCACTGCCATGGCAGCAGCTTCCAGGCAAAGGGCATCGCTGTGTGAGTGGAAGGAAGGTACCCCGAGCCCATGCTCTTCAAGAGCGGCCATCCAGGTTGGCAGTGAGGAGCCCTCGGTGCCCTCTGCACATCTAATATATCCTGTCACTCCTGTTCCTCATGAAACCCTCTCTAAGGCAGGCCTACCCACACTGCTTTTGTTTTACAGGAAAAGAATAATTAGTGTCTTCATAATGACATGTCATATAATTGAACAGGCTCCATCTGAATAGTTAAGTCATTTATTAGTCTTCCCTTAAAGCCTAACTGTAATTGTACTAATCTAACAAATTATTCTGAAACATTAAATATTTCTTTTAGAGAAACGAAAGCAAAATTGAACTTCTGGAATGGGCCAATATGTAAATGGGCATACACTATACATGTTAACGGAAAAATGTTGATTAATAAACTTTTTCAGAACATTTGTACCATACCTTTGCACTTCAATCTATTCCCACCTGAAATTTGCCATGCTGATTTTTAACCCCCTAGAGTACCTACTTGAACAGTGGTTCATTAGTATGCTGGCACTGATGGATTTTCAGCTGCTGATGTTTCTTAAAAGTCTTCTTACAACCTTCAAAAGTGCACTGTTCAGTAAAGGTTTGTTAGTCTTGAGAAAAATCGAAGAACAGTTCATAACAATCCTCTCAAGATAAAAATACTGTGGAGATTATAGACTTGCTACTTTTACCCATTTAGTTACCCTAAAATTCTTTGTCAAAAAGTTTTAAAGGGAAACATTTTTGAAAGAGCAAAATGTTTCATTTGGGGTAATTGACCAATAATATACTTTAGTTGACAAAATAATGTTTGCTTTCAAAATAAAACAATTATGATAGTGTCAGGCTAAAATCAGATACTTGACAGATAAAAATTTGGTTAATGAAAATTTTAGAAACAGACAATAAGCATAAAAACATTCAGAGAATTTAAGCATAGAAAATCATTCCTACTTACTACATATTGTTTTTGCTGATTTTCATGTTTGCGTTCAAAATGTTTCTTCAAGTTTGATTTTGTGTTGAATTTTTGGTCACAGCCACTAGCTGTACAACTGTAGAAATCATAAACCCAAATATTAACAAACCAAGGAAAGAAAAGTTTTGAGACTTTGTAAAAGCTTATTATTCCAAAGTATAGAATAAAATAGTCTTTAACAAATTCCAAAGTGTAAGCCACACCATGTAGGCCTCTGTGCTTTGATGTGATTAGCATATAATGAGATGCAATTCGTGTTAGGCTTCTGCAATTAATCACATGGCATCAGACACCCTTTATATACCAGGCAGAGGGGAGGTAGAAAACACTAGCTCCAAAAGCCCAGACCCTGTTTAGGTTTAAATTCGTGTTTAAGTTAAGTTGTTCTCAGTTTAGAATGTGATAACCATAACTTTGCTTGAAATGTCACTATAGACCTCCTTTCCAAAAAAAACTTCAAAGAAACAAAAACAAAACAAAACAAAAAACTGGTTTCACAGAACCATAAACCATTCTGCTTGCTCTCTGGCATAACCAAGATGGTCTAGTTTTCTTAACAAGCATTTCTGTATCTTGGCCTTGAATTGCCTAAATTCTTTGGGAAGCTGTGTTTTTAAAATATGTGAACTGTCTGTGGTGAGTTTTTATCAGCCTGATGAATGAGGCAGGACCTCCTTTATAAGCCCCCATCTTAGCTGTCATTCCCTGGTAAACACTGAGTAACGCTCACATGAAGCACTGTACTATCCACAGGGCCAGGTGGAGGAAGACAGAAAAAGACAGAAACTGACCGCACAGTGACAGTGGGAGATATGCCCAGAAGCCCACTGGAAACACACAGGAGGGGCACTGTCGGGGGCACTGTGGCAGAAATCCCTAGAAGTTCCAATAGGTTCTTTTTAAAAATTTTTAAAATATATTTTGATGAGAGAGAGAGAGGCAGGGAGACACAGAGAAAGGAATAGAGAGAAACATCAGTGTGAGAGAAATATCAATCACCTGCCTCCCTCACGCACCCCAGTGGGGTATTGAACCTGCAACCTAAGTATGTGCCCTGACTGGGAATCGAACTGGTGACCTTTTGGTCTATGGGACTATGTTCCAACCAACTGAATCACATCGGCTGGGCCCAACTGATGTTCTTGACCTCAGCAACAGAATGCTGAGTTTCAGCTGGGTACATGGCCCAGCTGAAACATAAAGAGAGCTTTTTCCAGACTCCCTTGTAGTTAAGAACACAATACGGCTAAGTTCTGGTCCACTCTGCTTAAATCCCACAAAATGCCTGAGAAGGGGGCACACCTCTTTTGCACCTTCTTCCAGCCTGGTGGCCGCAATGCTTATGCAACAGCTTAGAGTTCCAACAGGTATCTTGGACCATGATGTTAAAGCCCCAGGATGAGGATGGGCAAAGATATGTTAAAAGGAGCCCAGATTCTGATTAGGGAACGGCCCTTGACTGTTTACTTCTGCATTTCAGTTATGTAAGAGAAGAAGAGACTATCTTTAAGCCTCTATACTGCTGGGTTTTCTGTCACTGTCGACTGTAATCCTGACACAAGCATCTAACCTGACACAGGTGTGGGGCAGGACAGGGCTAAGAAAAGTCCTGACAGGAGCCAAACAGAAGGCACAGGGGCACTGAAGACCCCGGCAGAGTTGGCAGGGGTGAGCAGGGAGAGGCTGCAGGTCAGTTAAACATAGCTGGACCATAATTTCATGTCTGAAATTCAAGCAAATGGGTGACGATAAACAAACCAAAAAAAAAGCCAAATCACAAAGGTCATTTATCTGCCATACTAAGAACCTGGACTTCACTGTGTAATCAGTGCTTAAAAACCACTGCACCAGTTTAAGTAGGAAAGCAACCTGAAGGATAATGTGGGAGAGGGCCAGTGTGGAGACAAAGAAAACAGTCATTCCAGTGAGGAGTAGGGCCTAAGACAGTGGCAGCTGGAATGGGAGAGACAGACCTAAGGGATCAGGAACAGGACCTAATGACCGTGCTGGGGAGGAGAGTAGGACCGAGGCGTCCAGGGGAGTTGCCTCGTCTTTGCTGTGGGTCACCAGCCTGACAAGAGCAAGGGAAGAGAAGTCCAGAGAGAAAGCCAAGCGCTCGGATTGGACTTCAGTGAATTTAAGAAGCCACAGAGACAGCTAGGTAACACAGTCCAACCAGCAGCTGGCTATGGGGATCTGGAACTAACGAGAGAGGTCCGGGCTAGAGGGAGAGCTGGAAGACATCGCATTGTTCCAGTGGAAATGCTACTTCTCTCATTCACCCTGTGCATCTGTACCCAGATCCACTTTTTTCTTTTGTTATTTTTAAATAGCATACAGTAACTTAGTACAGAAACCAAAAAGCACAAGGGACCCGGATGCATAACATTTCCTTCCACTCCCGCACCTACCCACCCAGTACTCCCTACTACTCCCAAGACAAGTCACAACGTTTTTAGTTTCATGCAACTTTTAGGGCTTCTTCTAGATGTATAAGCAAATATAAATATAAGTTCTTCCTGTGTACCCTCCTCCTGTTATATACACAAAAGGTAGCCCTTTATATACACTTTTGAACGTTGGTTTTTCACTTAATATGCCTTGGAGATTTCTATGTTTCACAGAGATCATCTGCATTCATTTTTTAAAGCTGTACAGCATCCCACAAAGGTGACACACTTCAACCCTCCTTATGGGCACATGAGTTGATTCCGATGCTTTGTTACTATTAATAGTGTTGCACGTTGCGGGCACCTTGTACATGCCTTTAATACAGGAACAAGTATATATGTAGAAGAAATTCCCCAAGGTGAAACTTCTAGGCCAAAGACTATATTCCAGTCCTACTTTCCAGACCACCTTAGTTACACTTTGCTGGTGTAGCTGAACTATATTTTGAAATAAATTAAGCTTCACTTAGGGTCATTGATTTTGAGGACACACTGTGTGCTTGAACAGGGACTGAAACAGACATCTGCCATCCTCAGTACTTTTCCCCTTTCCCTCTGGCTGGCATGCTGGTCAGAGGGAAAGCAGATGGCCTTCCACAGGGAACACAACCATGAAGACTCCCTGTGTCAACAGCTCACCTTCTTCAGACTGTGGGAACCTTAGTGAGACATGGGACCCTTCACTTTCATCAGCTTAAAACTAGCAGAAATCAACCCAGGTCACTAGAAAACCCTATTGCTAAAGGAACTGTCTCATAGACAAAATTATGATCTTAAATCCTAACATTTGCAAAACTTGCCATACAGCTTTTTCCTGATACGATCTCCAGCATATAGCTCTGGACATCTTCTAGATTTATTTTTTGGTTTTTTCCCCCAAGGAAAACAATGTTTTCTTGGGACATTCTGTTTAGTGGTTCTAAGTATGGATGCCTGACCAGCAGCATCAATATCACCCAGGCACTTGATAGAAATGCAAATTCTCAGGCCAAATTCTGCTCTGGGAGTGGGGTCCAGCAAGCTGTTTTAACAAGTCTCCAGGTGATTCTGATACACCCTAAATCTGAGGTCCACTGAGTCTTAAAGAACTAGTGGATTTAAAAGAAAAGCTGTATCTCCACCCTTTCAGATAAATAAACAGCAACTCCGAGAACAGTAAAATTAAAATTGGTATAGTAGATGTGCAGGGGCTTAATCCAAAAAAATACAAGATAAACTATTAAAAGTTCAACTTCTGCCCTGGCCAGTGTAGCTCAGTTGGCTGGAGCGTCATCCCATACACCGAAAGGTCACAGGTTCAATTCCAAGTCAGGACACATACCCAAGTTTCAGGTTCGATCCCCAGTCAGGCACCTACGAGAAGGCTACCAATCGCTGTCTGTATCTCTCTATCTCTCTGTCTCCCTTTCTCTCCAAAAGCAATGAAAAAATGTCCTCAGGTGAAGATTTAAAAAAACACACACACAAAACAAACTCAACTTTCTTCATGCTTTTATCTCTTATCCCAGCAGCTTATCAGTTCAGAAAGACCCTGACAATGGGGAGCCAAGAACCTGGTAAGGAATCACTCTCATCTGGTCTAAACTGTGTTTTAAGGTTGATTTCCCACTTAGTGTACACTTTAAAAGGAGCTGAAAGGATGAAAATGCAAAAGACCTTCAGATTAACTTATTCCTGGTTAGTACACACAACCCCCCAAAACCCTACTTCCTTCTACACATTCAAAACTTGGTCTCCTCTTGTTATCAGGAGACGCAAATGAAGCTTCACATTCTCTTGATCTTGAGGTAACAATCAATCAGCATTCTTACCAGGTCAACATGCCACACAACCACTTCAGAGGCCTAAACCCAGTTCTCTACTTACGCAAAGGGCTTTTCTCCGGTGTGAAGCAGGGCATGGCGGCTCAGGTGGTAGTCCCTGACAAAGGCTTTCCCACACCCTTCATGGTCACAAACAAAAGGTCTCTAGCAGGAAGGGAAGAAAAAACATGTCAATTCTGCCCACGTTAGTAACTCTGATATTATTCAAAGGCCTCAATTTTCTAGTAGGCAAGGTCATGGCCTCCATCTCCAGAGATGGTTTCCACTAAATGGTGAGCACCTGCAACACCAAGGCCAGACAAGTTTGTCCTGCATGAAGTTACACATCGATGCTACAACTTCTCAGTCAAGTCACTGCAGCAATTTTTGCTCTGTGAATAGCATATGCAATAAGTGGGCAGCCTTCACAGTTCGTTAATCTGCTCCTAACCTAACACCTGGCTTCAAGTGCAACCCCCCCCTCTTAAAGATTACTTGCCTATATATACAGATCTCTACCATAGTGTGTGTGTGTGTCCATCCAAAGCCTAGGGAAGAAGAATGTGCAGGTTCTATCTCATCCTGAACAAGCTCAGTGTCTGTGCTAAGAGAATGGCTGGCCCAGGTACAGGAAAATGTGTCACACCTAAAAAAGTTCACAGGTGCCACAACAAAGCAAAGCTCACAGCCCTAACTGCAACCACTCCTCAGGACCTAGTGGCTGAGAGGCAAGGACTCCATCCTGTATCTACAGGAAAAGCCAAAACACATCCTCCAAATAACCAGTTTTGTGTATTTAATATGAAAAATGAACCATGACAATCCAGGAGGGAGATACCAAGCCTCAAATGACAGTACTGTTAGGAAAGCAAACAGAGAGGAAGACACAATACGCATGTGCAAAATTAAAGATTAGGCACTAATTTGGACATACTAATTATAAAGTTCAGAATTTGGAACATAGCGGGGGCAAGAGGAAAGACAGGAGGCAAAAGGTCATGGATGTTATGAGTGAACAGTCACTGTGTAAGCTTGCAAGAGAACTGGGAAAAACTACAGGGCAGAAGGTAAGCCAGTGAAAGGGGTCAATGACAAAGGAAGAGAGCTAGAGGAGAAGGTCCCAAAAAGGAAATGGTCAGCCTTCAAGTGCTGGAGAGGGTAAGAAGAATGGGTGTCATTAGGCCACATGGAGGAGTGGCCACTAAGTTAGGTAGGTGCCAGCAGCAAAGGTACTGACTGCAGGCCTCTAACTGAAATAAATCAAGGGCCTTTCGCTGGGGCAGTGTGAAGCCAGCCTCTTCCCAAAAGGAGGAAATTGGGCAGATTCCTTGGCCTCCATGAGCCTCCCTTCCCCTCAGCTGTCTTCCCCCAAAGTATTTTTATTTCCCTCAAAGTAAAACCCACACTCCAAACCCATTTGTACCCTGGCCTACAAATGATCCCACAAGGCTGCTTCTCAGAGCTCCTGTTGTATGGTTCCCATCTAATAACATTGGTCTACCTCCCCCAGGGAAAGCCGATGGGCTCTCCCTGCAGTTCTCTCTACCCAGACAGATTTCCCCCCCAAGTCGGGGCATGGCTGGATCTTCTCCTTCTCATTCAGGGCAAGAGGACTTTCCTGAGCACTCTCCAGCAACCCTCAATTTACTGCGTCTCGCTCCTACCCATTCTTTTACCTCTCTGTCCTCCTTAAAGGAAAAGGTCCGTGACAACACAAGCCTTGCCTGTTCTCTCTCCAGGGCAGGAATGGTACTGAGTTTTCAAAGAATGAATGGATGCTGCTTGCAAAACCTCCAGTACTATAAGTCATCCTACACACAAGTTCTGGGAGAGAGGGGCTTAAGGCACGTGTCTGTTGGAGTGGGGACTTTCAATCCTGCACATATTTACAAATTACCAGGAGGTAGTGATGGGCTAAGACTCAAGATGAAAGAAGAGCGAAAGGCTGCTCAGTAAACCCCAAACCCATGGCAAGGATACCTCAGTCCTAGAACTTCTAGTCTACCCAGTCAGCTCCTTTCCTAACCAAGGCATGGCTGGTTCGCTCGGGTGGTCCACTATGACAAAGCTGAACATGTTTTGCATAGCCAGGCATGCAACCCTGCGCACCCACACGCAGTCCCCAGGACTGCTGGGCAGAGCACACAGGGCAGCTGAACTGTCACTAGTCCCAGGGCCTAGATGCCAGGGTACTCCGTGGCCAGGCCTTCGGGCTCTTTACCTCCCCCGTGTGCTTGCACAAGTGAGCATCTAACTTCCAAGCCTTGTTGTAATTGGCGCTGCAGTTCGGGAAGGAGCAGATGAACCTCCTAGGATGCACTGGGAGCGACGGGGCGGAGCTCGTGCCTGCTCTGATGAACGCGTCGACGATGGTCAAGGATGATACCGCATCGGCGACCGAGACCGGGGGCTCCAGGGCGCCAGGAGACAGGCGCCAGGCCACGTGCCGAGCCACGTGCGGGGAACCGGAGACCACAGCTCCGAGATGACCCAATACCGGGCTCGCTGCACTTCCGGGATTGCGGCCTTGCCCCCACCCCACCGCGGGGTGAGATTGGTGCGCTTGCGCGCGGGCAGCTAGCCACGCCCCGCGCGGGCGCCGTGTTTGCGCATGCTCCTAGGCCCTGAGACGGGAACCTTTTGTAGGTCCGCGGTTCCTCCCGCTGTGGGTGAGGGGCGTTGGCTACAGCGCCCACAGCAAAAAGAGGCTTGGACCTCAACAGGTCCCGATACACTGATTGAATGTGACGTTTTCCATCCGCCATCATCCTATTCAAAGTAATAACCTTGCAGAATTTAAGCTATCCTGTTGACATTGTTAGTTTGCGTGCAATCTACATACTTCCTTCTTACAGAAAAACTCTTCATAAACTTAGCAGCAGATAAGAATCGCATGGAGATCTTTTAAAACTCTTAAGCTCAGAGCATACCCTGGACCAATTAAATCACAATTTCTGTGGGTGGGAAACAGGAATCAGTAGTTTGGAAACTCCCCGGGTGATTCCAATGTGGACAAAAGTTTGGGAACCACTTCCCCAAGGCTTTGGTGTTCCAAGTGTGGTCTGTGGACCAACAACATCATTAGACATCACAACCACAGACCTACTTAAGTCATATAGGTTTATTGATTTATTTATGAAGACCCACATGTTTAAAGGACGTCCTTGGATGAGAATAACATGATGGATGGTCTGCTGTTCTGCCAGATTTGTATGTTTCACAGCCTACATCATTGCGAATCATTAAGCAAGCCCTTGTCTGAATATGATGAACAGGTCCCAGCAGTCACTCCTGACCTGGATCCTTATATCACACTCATTCCTGAGCCTCAGTCTCCTCATCTTTATTTATTTATTTATTTTTTAATGAGTCCTTGTCATTTGGAACTGCTCTGTGTATCCCCTCCCTCTACCTTTCTCCCATTAAGTGCCAGTATCCCTTCTAAATCACTGGGACAATTGGAAAAGACCACATATATAAGCAAATTCTCTCCAGGATGTGGTTGCTAACCCCCCAACCCAGGATAATTGAGAACTCCTCTGGGGGAGAAGAAAATCTGGATTCAGGGGAAGAGTTGTTCAAGAGATACCAAGAGGTAATAAGGTACAAAAAATCCAAAGACAAAATGGTTCCCAAAAGGAGGGTTATCAGTGGTGTCCAAAGTTAACAATGAATAACAATGAGTGATCAATGAATAAGGACACCTTGAAAAACAAAAGACGACTGTGGAGGTGTTTCTCATAACACTTTTAGTTATTCCCAAACAATTAGATGTTGTCTTATATGGTAAGTGATTGGACAGCTGGATTTCTTTCAGGAGGACCCAATTTTTATATTTTGTTACAGTTACACAATCTCAGAATTTCACTCTATTTAATGCCATGTATCTAATATATGTATTATTTATACATGTGTATATGTACATTTAATATGGAGTTGATTCATAGGAAGAATATGGTTTTTATAATCAAAAGTATTATCTCATTGTTGTTATGTGTCCATTATGTCCACATATATGTCAATATGTCCATTAATGCCATCTGTGCAGCTATCTATAGGATGACAATATGCAAATATCAGGAAACTTAGTTAAAATACTCCTTTGCCTTCTTTCTGAATGTAAAGAATTTTTTGTGGGTGTGTTTGGAAACAAAAGGACAATACCATCATTTAAAAATAAAGTTGCCCAACAATACATGGTAATTTTTATAATTAAATGCAGCCAAGAAGCTGATAGTGGTTTCTTCCTAAGTTAAACACCTGTAAAGATGTTTGAGCTCTCTCTCTCCACCCACCCCCACCCTCACTTCTCATCCCTCTTCTCTTTCTCTCCCTCTCTCCCCCCCCCCCACCCCATCTCCTCTCCCACCCTAGGCTTCAGGCCCTCACAGTCTGATCATCCCTGCCAGTCTTCTTATAAGATTCAGAGTTTCTGCCCCTGTGACTGTGGTTTCCTAAGGGTTTTGGCTCAACCCAAGCAGCCCGGACTTTATATAATCTGACTCTTTAATTCCCCATGGCTAATGCCTCCTGAAAAAGCCTTTGGACCACCTGGGACTCAGGTTTTTCCCCAAGCCCAAACAGCTTTATCCCGGAAGGGATAAGACCTTGGGTCTTGTGGGTTAACCTAGACAGAACTCTGGTACACCTGTTCTAGCTGGAAGATTGTGCCTACTTGCCTCAGCTTTGCACCTCCCCTTTTCTATGTGACTTTGTTCCTCCCATAGAGAAGGCTGGAGATATTTCCTTTCCTTGACTCTAAGCTCAGCTGTGTGACTTACTTTGGCCCTGTAAGTTCGAAGTGACAGCATGCCTAGGCCTCCAGAGAACTTGTGTGTGGCTCTCTTGTGCCTCTGCCATTGACACCAGGAAGACATTTCTGCTTTAGCTTGTGGCAGGAAGAAGACAGACATGAAGAAAAAGCTGAGTCATCCTAGGAAAGAAAGCCCAGCACAGATCAGCCTGCCATCATCTGACATTCAGTCAATCCACACATCCAACACCATAAACAATAGGAAGCCACTGAGTTGTGGGATGCTTTGTTATGCAGCAATTATATAGCAATAGCTAATGGATGCACTCTCTTTGTTGATACTTCCCCTTAGCCAACAAACATATTCAAGTAGCTCGTTGTAAAAACAAACTCCTTTATGTCTCTGCACTTCTCTCCATGGCATGATTTCACCTTTTCCCTTCACAGCCAGGTCACTGAAAAGAATAATGTGGTCTTCTTCCTCTTTGCCTACTCCTGCGTTCACCATTATCACCCAGATGTTAAGCTTACAAAAAACAGGGCTGATAGTAGAGATCCCATCACCCAACTTCAACAACCATCAATTTCTTGCCATTTATGTTTAATCTAACTGCCTCCACTTCCAAACTTCCCCACCCTTTTTTTGCTAGAGTATTTTAAAACAGTCTCCTATAGCATCTCATTTTGTTGCGTTATCTCATTTTGATAATTAGCGCTAACAGATTTTATAAAGTGTTGGGCAAAAGTAGGTTTACAGTTGTGAGTGCTCAAAACAGAGAATTTATTCTTGCATTATTATTTATTAATCATTGTATTATTTTTCCATACAAAAAAATGTAAACTTACTTTTGCCCCATCCTGTATATATTATCTTCAATTCTATTCTCATACTGAGAAAAATATAAACAGTAGTTCCTTAAAATCATCTGATACCTAGAAATCCTTAAATTCAGCATATTCGAAACTGCGCTCCTCTTCCCCTCCCCCTCTGCCAGGGTCCTCTTTTTCCAGTGAGTGGGTCATAATCCACCCAGCTGGCTGAACCCATGGCTTCTTCTCTTCTCTCACCCCTTACATTTATTAAGTGTCCCATTACAGTTGGTTTCACCTCTCCATCTTCAGTTACACCCAAGCAAGGTCCTGAACATTCTAGTTCCTATGGTTGGCTGTGATCCCATCAGAAAAGGGGTGCCTGCGGATCAAATCAGTCTCCTCCTCAACCATATATTTGGGGATTAATGAGGATTAAATAAGAAAACATACATAAAGCACAGAGAGAAATGGGTGACTCAGACGAATTGCTCAGTGGATGTCAGCTCTCATCACCATGGTAACCATGATCTGTGCGGATGCCTTCACCAGTCATGAAGTGCTATACATCTGTAAACTGTTACTAAGTTCTCAAATATTGGCTGGAACAAAAAAATGAATTAATGAGCACTATTACACTGGTCAAGGTCAGCCCGAAGGAAGCTGGAAGACCACAGTTAAGAAAAGTGCCCTCCACTTTGCCTCAGGATTGAGCAGCAGAGATTCCACCCCTCAGCCACATTCTCGATAAAACCCACACAGACATCCCTCAGGGAGCCTTCAAGAGCCACTGACTCTCCGATTGCCCAGTCAGGAGAGGTCCCCCATGCTGTCACCTGTATCTCTGTCCTTGCTCCCAGCTGTACTGTTAACAGATTTCTCACCCTCTCAGCATCTGTTCTTTGAATGTTCCCCATGTGGACCTTTGGAATCATCCAGTGGACAGTGCTTAGCCCCACTACCATTTTCCTTCTTGGTTGCCCACTGATCGTGCATTTCCAGCCTGGCTTCTCTAATTAGCCCTCCCCTTGCTTAGGTCTGATTATGGCATTTTCCTGTCATTGTAATGGCCCCAAGTTGCCACCTCCGGCCTGTGCTTAATCACACACATCCACTTCAAACCCATTTTATTCTGAAGTAGCCAGTTTCCATCCAGTGAGCGAGGCCTAATTGCTCTGCGGTTACCCATGGGGTCAGATGCTGGAATGTGCCCTTTCCATCCACAGCCGGCTAAGACTTTCGTGTGTGATCATTTCCTCTGCCAGACATCAGAGACACCCCTGAGAGAGGTAAGCAGGCATCTCTAGGGAGTCCTTGCCCCTCTTATGGGTGGCTTCCTGATTTCCTTTAGGGGTGGAATCCATCCACCCCTCTTCAGCTCCCCTGTGACCATCTTGGGCCAGTGTGCTATCATCTCACCTGATTTCCATGTGCATCCTGCAACCAGGCTCACACTCCCAAATCCTTTCTCCACACTTTGGCTAAGGGATCCTTCCCAAAGGCAGGGATTTCAGGGGTGTCCAATAGCCCTTAGGATAAAGCTCCGCCCCCTTACAGGTGCCCTTGAAGGCCTCAGAGGAGCCAGCATTACCCCCGCCCGCCCGCCTCCTTTCCCACCTCCAAGCCCTATCACTGCTCACACCTGGCATCTCTAACTTCCCTTTAGACCTCCCACATCCTCTTCATCTGGATTGTATCTCTCCGTCCTTCTTACACCCTGCTGTCCCTCACAAGCAGCCAATGTCAACTCATCAGATGGCAGCTTAGGTGTAAATTCCTCCAAGAGTTTAACAGACACACTCCTGCTGGCCAAGTGGCCCACTCCATACCCCACATACTCTGCATTGCCCTCCTCACAGCACTCCACACACTTTACCACAGTTGTTTCACTAAGCTTTCCCAGCAGCTCTTTGCAAGCTCTGGAGGGTGGGCTCCATGACTCCTTGTCACCAGTGTAGTCCTAGAACCCAGCACAGGGCCTGCCACATGGCAGGAGCCAATACATATTTCTTGACTGAATCAAAACCTTTCCCACCACTGTTATGAAGCAGCAG